TTAATTCACTAATTAACTACTCAACTAAGTAAGCTCGTCAGTCAGTAAGTAAGTAAGTAAGAAGGTAGGTAGGTAGGTAGGTAGGTAGGTAGGTAGGTAGGTAGGTAGGTAGGTAGGTAGGTAGGTAAGTAAGCAGGCAGGCAAGCGGGAGGTGGATTTTAAGGCCTCTTGGGAATGCTGGCGAGGCTCGTGGTATGCGCGATCGCCGCGACAAGCTCATGCCTTTCTGGCTTACGACCGGAAGGAGAATTGGAGGAGACAAAGAGAAAGGGAGCAGGATGCTGTGGGCCTCAGTCTCGATCACAAAGGGGCCATCCTCGGCTTTCCGTTGGAAGTATCAGTGGATCCGGCATACTTCGCCACTGCCGGATCCTGCCCTTGGTCAAAGCCCTCGAAGGCGTACGGGTCGCCTATTTGGTTTCTTTGCAGGCTTTGACTAAGACCTTGTGCCAGGTGGGTCAGGGTCAGACATCGCAGAGACGCGACGAACATCGTGGCTGTGGCCGCATGTACGCGAACCACCATCGCCTTCGGAGACACCTCGTACATGCCAGCCAACGCCGCATCACATGGGGTGCTTTCGCTACTGATAACGAGGCTCTCGCACCGGCCCACCTTCAGCAGCTCCCTGTGCAGTTTGATGGACGCTCGCGCGAGACTGGTGGGATTCTCGACCCATCAATGCACCATTAGGGCCTCATCGACGTGCTGTTGGCATTAGCCGGTCCTGACGGTGACAGTGTCTGGAGGGTTGTGCTTGATTTTGCCGAACCTCTTGCAGTCTTACGGAGCTTGCTGCTCGCCTGGGCCGGCAGGGGCTTCGGCTCTGGCTTCCGATGCTTGTCTCTTGTTGGATCCGGAGCTTTGGTGCGAAGATTTTCGCAGGGGTTTCGCAGGGGCAGGCATGGTGGCCAATCCGCCTGTGCTGATGTCCTGCGGCCCACTGGTTGCCGCTGCAGTTTCATCCTCACTGGATATCTCGCCCACACTTCCAATTAAAGGATACTCCCGCGCCGGAGTATGCCTATCTATCCGTTGCACCACTGCTTACCTTTAGCTGAAGCTCGCCGGCAGCTGCCTGGCAAGAGCATGCCTGCGACATGGTCGGCCATTTCCTTTTCACCTCCCTCCATGCACCGGTGTTTCTGGCTGCGTCCCCGCGGGCTGTCTTTATTGTCCTTTGCCTGGAACCCGTTGCTGCGTGGATTTCGGAGAGTGGATTTGTGCGTCGGGCAGAGGGGATTGGTCGAATTCATGTTGCCAGGAGCGCGTCCGCCGGACTCCAAGCTCGCAGAAGAAGAAGAAGAAGCAGTATACGCCTAGGTAAGTAAGCATGCATGCATGCATGCATGTATCTGCATGTAGGCGTATGATGGGGTGTCTGCTCATCTGTGCCGCTGACCGCAGAGACAGTGCGTGAATGACGAGGTCCCCACAGAAGGACTCGAAGCCGCCAGGCCTAAAAGCAATTGGTGTTGGGGATGTTCAGTTTTAGGTAGGGTTAAGGCAGGGGTTTTAGGCTTTGGGGTTGTGGGGCTTGAAGGCCTTTAGGCTTTTGGCATTAGGCTTTGGCCTTAGGGTCTAGGGCTAACATAGGCCTTAGGCTTTTGAGGACCTTGCTTTAGAATTTAGTGTTGCAATCGCAAGTACTCGGGCGAGGGCCAAGCACGCATGCCCCGAGCAGCACACATCCACAAAATGTCATGCGTGTCATGTTCTTTGGGAGTTGTGCTTCCGTATGCTTCCTATTTGTGGGCTTAGGGCTTAGGGCTTGCAGTTTAGGTACGTCCGGCGGGGTGGCTACACAGGTTTGCACGTCCTCGGTCTCCCGGCATACTGCTTGATAGGAAGACATTCGAATGCGAGTTGAGCCATGACCATGTACCTCCAAGAATCCAACACGTAGGTCTACAACAAAGCGCTACACTGCACTCTCTTCGTGCATCCCTCTCTGTCGTTTCTCTCATTCAGAGGAGAAGGAGAATGGTCTCGTTACTTATTCGCTCTGTCTTTTTTTTACGGGGGGTCTCTTGCTCCCATCCTGTCGCTATACTCTGGGCACGAGGCTCCTGAGGCCATGCGAAGGCTCCAGAAACCACGAAGCCCAGACTGGCTCTTCCTCCCTCTTTTCCGCGTTTTAGGCTTCTTTCTCCCAGTATAAGGAGGCTCTTGAACCCCGGGAAGTGCAGGACCGCGGATTGACGGGACGGGCTGGGCTTGCTGTCTTGGGGATCTGCCTGCGAGTCTGCCCAACAATCTACCAGCCTGTACATCCTCATATCTACCCTCTGTTTCGCTGCCTTGTCTGGTCTCTGCTCTCTGGTCTGGTCTCTGGTCTGGTCTGTAGTCTCTGGTCTCTAGCCTCTGGTCTCCGGTCTCTGGTCTCCGTAGTCTGCGGTCTGGGTCGATGTGCGCATCTGTCAAGTTTAGGGTTTAGGGCTTATGATTTAGGGTCAATCTCTGCCTCTCCCTCGGATCAACTCCATGTCTATCACTGATGCTCTCTCCCACTCCATCTATGAACTCAGACAGTAGACAAAGACAAAAGCCGACAGATAAACTGGTGCACGATTAGCCAGACGGTCGGTCAGACTGAGACAGGCGAGCAGGCAAACAGACGGAAACAGGCAAACAGGTATTCTCAATGACCCTAAACCCTACGAATCCCTAGAGTAGAACCCTTGCAGGAACCTCAGGAACCCTGAACCCTCACAACTCATGGCGGTGATGGCTGCTTCAGAGCGGGTCGCGGGCAAGGGCAAACAGATCAGATCATCAAGGTCTTCGGCTTAGGGTTTGGATCCGCAAGAGGAGCCAATCTAGGAATATGTCCTTCAGACACTTCTGATGAGCGGCTTCTTGAATCCGGAAAGATTTTCCGCACGGCAGGGGTTTCGTCAGTATGCTGGACATTTTGCCAGGATGCTGTCTGAACAAAGCAAAAATGCCGCATCCCACTTAAGCGAGGTGGCATTTACTTAGACGTTGAGACAACTGGCCGGCAAATTCTAGCACCACGCAAACTCCGACGAAACTGGTTCTTGCTTTGGGCTTTACACTTTGGGTTCCCGCTGACTGCCTGGTGCGAGAGACGGGGGGGCGCCTCTTCCGCTTCACAGAAGGCTCCTCCGAAAGATTGACTCGAAAAGGTCTCAAAAGGTCTCAAGAGCTGGTTGAAGGGTCAAACCCTTCGAGAGAGACAGTAAAGCTGTCTTGCAAAACGGCTGCGGAATCTTTGATACCGGCAGCAAGGAAGGCAACAGTAGGTTCAGTGCCTTTACAGCGTCTCCACGTCATCAAGGTGAAGCTAAACATAAAACACAGTACCCCTTTTCAGGTCTGTTTCAGTGAACTTCTTTTCGGCTGGTGCGCATTCAGATTCTCCAGGAGCTGAATGAAGTATCGCACCTTTATGCTGATTGCTACGATGTCACCTGGCGTCGGATGGGAGGAACCCCAAACTTAAAGCTTTACAGGGCTCAGGGTTCAAGGCCCAGGCTTCGCTTGCGAAGGCTCTCCATCCAGCTGTTCAGACCTACAACCCGAAACCCACACCCCAGAGCCACGAAGCAAACCTGAAACCCCGAACCCCCAGAGCCCTGAATTGCCTTAAAGACCCCTTCAATGCGAATAGCAATACTAGCAGTGAAAAAATAGGAAGAAGAAACAAAACAGTGATACTGATAAGAATGCGAATGAATATAAATAATAGTCGCAACACTAGAAATGATACGGTGGATGATATAAAAAAATCCTGCATTACC